TTTCAGCCTCCTGAGTAGCTAGGATTACAGGCATGTGCTGCCACACCCAGCTAATTTGTATTTTTAGTACAGACGGGGTTTCTCCATGTTCATCAGGCTGGTCTTGAACTCCCGACCTCAGGTGATCCGCCTGCCTCAGGTGATCCGCCCGCCTTGGCCTCCCAAAGTGCTGGGACTACTGGTGTGAGCCACCGTGCCCAGCTTCTATTTGTCAATCTAACCATATACTATGTATATATGAAGACAAACTTGATATGACATAAAAAAGGCTGAAAACAAGGTGATGAGCAAAGATATTAATGAAAGAAAGCAGGGATGGTAATATTAATATCAGGCAAAGTAGAATTAAAACAGAAAACATTACACTTGTGCTATATTTTATAATGTTAAATCATATAATATACTGAGAAGATATATCCATAAACCTTGATACATTGAGCAACAGCAAACTGAAATATGTAAACCAAAAATTGTTAGTAATATAAGAAGGACGGGACAAACTACAATCATAGTGAAGATCTTCCTTAGAATTTGGCAGATCAAATAAACATAAATTAATTTAACTATACTTGAAAAACACAATTTAAACATAATAACAATTAAAATGTTTGATTATATAACTTTTTTAGTCTTTATACTCAGCCAAAAGAGAATGTACATGTGTTTTCAAATACCCAAAGGGCATTAATAAAAGTTGATCCTTGAATAGACTACAAGAATAATCTTAGTGAAATCAACAGAGTCAAAATCATATAGTCCGTATCCTATGATTATGGTAGTAGAATGATTAGAAAGTAATAACAAAAAGATAACTTAATGCCCCTTGAAATTACATTTTCTAAATATCTCTTGAGTCAAAGAAGATATCAAATTTGAAATGACAGACTATTTAGAAAATGATGGTGAGAACACTAACCCTATAGCGGGCAAGCTGTACTTAGGAGAAACTTTGATTTTATTATTTAAAGAAATCATGACAATAACTGAAGCACATTTTTCAACTCATGAGAACAAGATAAAATAAACCACAAAAGGGCAGACTATTAAGTAGAAATTCATGAATAAGAAAACAAAAAGCAAAATTTAGAGCTTTTCTTAAAAAGACCAATAAAAGGGATCCTTTATTCATTCTATATTTATGTTCTGGAACACACTCTAACAACAGTAGAACAAACATATAAATTGATTTTCAATTACAAGGAGTTTAGATTATTATGGCATGAATACAAACACCTATAATTGGGAAAAATCATGGATAAATTGAAATCAAACCCTGTTATAACCATGACAGCCAAGAATATTGATTCACTCACACTAAAAATGTTCTGTGGGAGGGCTCCCACCATAGGTCTTGGCACTTTCTGCTTCTGCTCTGTGTAATCTTTTCCCCCAGACACAATCTCTGCCCGAATGCTGCCTTACCAAAGCATCTTTGTTTGACCACTCCATTCACACTCTATTTTTCTTATCCTTAGCCTGTTTTATTTTTCTTCATATCACTGTATGATACAAATTTATATGTTTATTATCTATCTCCTCCACTAAGGTATAAGCCCCTTGAGAGACAGCTGCCTATTTTGTTCACTGCTACCCTCCTGGTGCCTAAACCAGTAAGTGGCTCATGGTAGACTCTAAATAGGTATCTGTTGAATGTAGGCTGCTCCACAAAACATTACTGTATATGTAGGTGGCATGGTTTGATTATCTACATAACAAGTTCCTGATGATGAAGTTTTATTGTATTCATGATCTAGATTTATACAGACTTCTCAATAGCATGTGGAACTGAGGCAATGCCAACGTGGGGTCTCCATGCTTTGGAGACCATGTGTCTGGCCCCATGTCTACTGTGATGAGTGGAATAGCACCTGAGGAAAACCTCTAGTAACTCTCATTAACTTGGGGTTTGTAATTACATTGTACCCAAACAAGTTCTGTTCTTTACTAAATTCTAAGTAATCTTTAAGAACAAGGTCTCTTTCTTAAATGACTCCATGGCCTTGGATTTGCAGGCATGAAGTGATATCTGGTACCCAACCTTAGGTTCAAGACCGTCAATCTGCATCTTAGCTCTTACAGCCATCATCACACCAGGGACCCAACATATACTTAACACAGAATCCTAACCTGGCTCTGCTATGGATACCAGGCAGACTGCTCCCTGTATCTCATTGCCATCCATTTCCAAAGTACACAGGAACACAGAGATTGGAGCCAGGCATATCTGAATCCAAATCCTACCTTCCCTACTAACCTGGTGTATATTCTAGGATAAGCTCCTGCTTTGTCTTTCTGCCTTTCTGAGCATCAATGTGGTAGAGGTTGCTAGTTTCTCACCAAAATCCATTCTTCCTCCTTTGTTCTAAAACTTCTAAGTTATGGCTGCCTGGTTAGAGACCATATTTCCCAGTCTTTCTTGCTGCTAGTTGTTACTCTGGGATTAAGTTCTGGCCAATGGAAAATGAACAGAAGTGAGACCTGCCATCTCCATATCATACTTCTAAAAGGAAAGGTCTTACTCTCCCCTTGCCCTTCTCCTTCCCTCTGGTAGGAGCACAGTCATGATGGCAGAGCACATTTATGATGGTGGGAGCTGAAACAACCACTTTGGTCCTAGAGATGGAAATTATTAGTGAAGGTGCCAGAGTTGCCAAACCAATTCTGGTCTGCATATCTCAGATGAGCGTGGCACCCGAGACAAAAATATGAAACAGAAATAATCTTCAATCTTATTTAAGCCACTGTTTTTGGAGTCTGTTTGTTATAAGAGCTTAGACTGTAATATACTTACTTTCCTTAGTTGTAAAAGGAGAATAATACCTGGCTGGGCTGTTGTAAGAAGGAGTATGCAGTAGGAGCTAAAAAGTGATAAGAATGATTATTGTCCAAACTTGTGCAGCTTTCCTTCAGCCTGACATCAAAGTCATTGTCTGGGCAGAATCTGTGAAAGTGAGACACCTGAAGTGGTTGTGACTAGTGCCAAAGTCGGTCACAGTCAAGATGAGGCACTATACAACCACCTCTTCATCCCCTCATCTCCCAAACTCTATGTTCAGCCAGTGGTCAGTTGGCTAGTGAAACAACAGGAAGAGAAAACTCTGCGATGCTGGTAGCAGGTAAACAGTTAGGACAGATATTTGTAAACAGGAATTTGATTTTCTACAATGACAAATGCTATACAAATTTTATTCCTCATCTTTTCGTGAAACTTTTGGTAAACTTCACTTCGTGTTGATGTTTTTATGGAGTTGGATCTATTCTGAGGCTATGTTTAAATGTTGAGTTCAGCCTTAACGGACAAGAGTAGAGGGAAACTTGAGATACTCAATGCAGCAAAAAAGGAACAAGCTGGTGAAGAGAGGCTGCACTGTGGTAATATAAGAGCACATAAGGCCTGCCTTGGCATCCATCACCCTTAGACATCAGACAGTCATTAAAAGTTGGAAAACTGATTTTTCATTGCAGATCTGTAGTGTCAAAATCAGACAGACTCACATTATAAACCTTAATTACAGTCATTTGGTATTTCATCTGCCTCACCGAAAATAATTGGCATATCCTTCTATTAATAGTAAATTTCAAAATTCATGCGTTCTCAGGAAGTTGTTGGCATAGTTAAGTACACACTTATTAAACAGAAATTTCTCAGCACTTACCCCATTGTATTATGGGCTTCGTTCTCCATGTCAAGAAACTGCTACATCTGGTTTATATTTCTTGATTTTTAATCTGTTGGAGGAAAATGATCCAAATTCCTAAAATGTTTATATTCATTAACCTATAAAACATAAAAATGTTTCTACTGCAAAAACCATTTAGTATGAATTTTTCTTTATAGTAGCTCTTGGTCCTAAAAAATATAGAAACTTGAATTTGTTTTGTGGGGTTTTTCTTGTTTGTTTTTTGAGAAGGTGTCTCGCTCTGTCGCCCAGGCTGGAGTGCAGTGGCGCAGTCTTGGCTCACTGCAACGTCCGCCTCCCGGGTTCAAGCGATTCTCCTGCCTCAGCCTCCTGAGTATCTGGAATTAAAGGCGCACGCCACCACACCCGGCGAATTTTAGGGATGTTAGTACTTGCCTAAAGTTAAAATTAAAAAAAAAAAAAAAGTTTTTCATGGTAACAAAATTTTAGCTAAAAAATAATCTATGACGATAATTGGAGAAAGTATTGAAATGGACTTCAACTCCTCTGAATCATTGAATAAAAGTCAATTAAAGAGCATTCAAGGGAGTAGAAAGAGGTAGAAGATTCAGACTCACATCACTTCCAAATCGGAGTTTAAGAGAGACCCAGGAATTGTGTGCGGGGCAGACTGGAGACAGCAGGAATGGTGAAAAAAAACTTGACCAAAACAAGCAGACAATGGTTTTGTAGGTTCTCAAATCCCTTACTTAAACGTCAAGTAAACTGAGGCACAGACAAGTTAAGTGACTTGCCCAAGGCCACACGACTAGAGCCCAGGCCTTCTAACCCAGGGCGCACGCAGCTCTGCTCTGCATTTCCAAGGGCGGGCCTCCCCTCCCAGCCTCTGTTTCCCAGCCTCTGTTTCCCCGCCACGCGCCCCGCCGGGACCCGCGCTCAGTTCAAGCCCAGCCTCCCGCAGAGCAGCCGCCCTTTTCTGGCCCCCCTGTCCCCTGGATATCCCCCGCCAGCCCGGCTGAAGGGAGAGGGTGAGGGTCAAGGGCGCGGCAGGGCCGGGGAAGCTCAGAGCCATTACCTGCGCCGCGCCGCGCTTGCCCGAGAGGTCTGAGGCCCGGGGCGCAGGACCGCGTAGGTCACCTCCCGCCCGGCCAGGCCCGCCCCAAGGGGCCCCGCCGCCCGCCGCCGCGCTCCCGCCGCCTGGGCCCTCCAGCCGCGCGGCCCTCTAGGCTGCTGGGCCTCTCCCTGCCAGCGCGCAGCGCCGCCGCTGGTTGCCATGGGGACGTCGCGGGCAAACTCGCGGCTGCCGGGGTGGGGGAAGGGCGCGGCCCGTGCGGGGGCTCCTCCGCTGCCTCTGACCTCGCTATCCCGCAGTTATGCGTCCAGTGTCCCCTCTATTCTGGGTCCCTCCTCTTTGTAGTCCCACTGCCCACCCCAAGGCCCGGCACCCAGCTGCCGCCCGAAATACTTGTTGAATTAATGAAACAAGGCGATCACAAAGGTACCGTAAACCGCTGCGGAGTTCGTCGCCAGGTACCTTCGATCCCCTTGGCCCTCTTTCCTCTTACTCAAATTTGAAATGGTATGAAAAAGAAACTTGGGGTAAAGAGAACTGCTTCCTTTCCGTTCACCCGACTGTCTTCCAGCTGGGAGGAGCTGGATTTCACTGCTCAGTCCCTGGTTCCTCTGGTGACTCCAGCATCAGCTTGTACCTGGCTTTCCCGTCACGCGCGATGGGTTCTTAGAAAACTGCCAGTCAGGCGAGGGGGACAGTGTTGCCTCCCTTCAGGGAGAAGGGAGTAGCTTCTAAGCGGAGAAGCTGGAACGAGACTCAATGGGAGTGATTCCAAATTCCTTCCTTTTCCCACCAAATTCCAAGAGTCATTGCTGACAAATTTCTCTCTTCATTTCACAGAGGAAATGATAGGAAAGAATATATGTTTTCCAACTGACACCTGGAGTGATTTGTTTTAAGCACTTGAATTTTGTGTTTGATTTGTTTTAGCCACAGAATTCCTTCCTCATACATGGAGTTGACTGCTTTTTATTCTTAAAGTCTTTTATTTGCACTCTGCTTTCATCGCTTTAATGCTCATTTGCTACTTTAATATTCTATCAATTTAATGCTCACCCACATTCCTCCATCCAGGTTCCCTCTGAATTTTATAAAACCATTATGCTATTTCTTGACAAATTGAGCTTCATAGATGAATTGCAGAGTAACCTGGGATATTAGTTCTAATGAGTGTTTCATAGCTCTCATGTTTGCATGGAGAGTGATCATGCCATTTTAACCTGAAACTTTTCATTATTCTGAAAACTCTTAGTTATATTTTTTATTCTTGTCTGAATTGAATAGGTCAATGTATTTTTTCTAACCTGAGGAAGGGAAAATGGAACGAGGAATGAAATTTAATGAAATCTCAGGATGCCCAAGATCAGTAAGGCTATGCAACATTGGTAAGTACCTCCATGTTCATTATTACTTTAGAGGTTCAGAAATATACTATACACTCAGCAAGTTTGTCAGGTGTTATTAATAGCTCCTTTCAGAAGATTGGGAAATGCAGGCTTAGAGAGAATGAAGGATATGTCCATGGATTTGTCCATCTACTTGCACTTGAAATGAATGATACATCAAGATCTGAACCTAGATCATCTTACTCCAAATCCAGTGTTCTCCAAACATTAAGATTGAGTTGGTTTCTTTAGCAGCCAGGATCTTCCTTAGCAAACTGTAGGTTTCGTGTTTTCACATAGAAGAGAGGTGCAGGGGAAGGCTTGTGAAAACGTGTGATAAGACACATGCTATAATGGATTTTAGGAAAATTTAAATATAGAATAGGAACACCCCATTCAATTGAATACAAATAAAGGTTTTCATTTCAGGATGTGAGTTAAGATTTTAAATGCAACTACCTGTCCCCTACCCCATTAGTAAGAAGTAACTGTAAAGACTTGAATTAACCCTGAAATGTCCTTATTATTAGATATTTTCAGGTAAGTTTGTTTTGAAAGCGATGAGACCAGGAAGGCCCCAGTCTAAAGGACAGAACGAGTGTGACCAGGTGCAAAGCTTTCTAAACAGGGCTAGTGAGAGATGACAAGATAACTTAGTCATGAAAGAAAATTGGAGGACATGGCAAAGTGAGAATAAGATAAAATGTAACCAGAAATGGTCAAAGGAGAATATAGTGGGCATAAATGGATGAAGAATAAGGATGACCTATGCAAGAAAAGCTAAGGAACCAATTATAGGAAATAAATAATAATCACAGCAATAGTCTAAATCTTTAAAATTTAAAAACCTTCATAACAAAATCATTTCATGGGAAAATTTATAATAGCAATATAGTAAATGAATGTGCAACTTTAACATATGCATGATTATATAAAATAACTTGATGTCTTATCAACAAGGAAATATTTTTACATTTTTTAAAAAGCAAGTTCACAAATTGTATATATACAATATAATTTTAAAAACTAAATATATCCTTATGCATAGAATGTATTTAAAACATTTTTTAAAAAACAATTATAATCAAATAATCATAGAGTTGTAAGAAACTGTAGAGGAGATACAGTGTAACCCCAGGGGTCCTCAATCCCTGGGCTGTAAACTGGTGCTGGTCAGTGAGTGGCCTGTGAGGAACCTGGCCACACAGCAGGAGGCGAGCAGCAGGCAAACATAGCCTGAGCTTCTCCTCCTATTAGATCAGTGGTGACATTAGAGTCTTACAGAAGCCTGAATCCTTGTGAACTGTGCATGCCAGGGATCAAGGTTGCACACTCCTTATGAGAATCTAATGCCTGATGATCTGATATGGAACAGTTGTATCCTGAAACCACATCCCCTGGTGCCAAAAAGATTGGGGACTGCTGGCCTAACCTCTTCATTTTATGTGAAGAAACTCAGATCCAAAGAGTTATAATGTTTCATTGTTAGTTAATGGAAAAAATTTTCAAAGGAATTTTCTGGGGATGCTTAATATACATTCTAGTTGAGAAAATAACCATTTGGTAGGAAGATACTCAGTATTTAGAACCAAGATCACCTAGAGCAGCGTTATCCAATGGAAACGTAATGTAAACCACTTGTATAATTTTAAATATTCTAGTAGTCAAATTTTAAAAACTAAAAACCAGATGAAGTTAATTTTAATAATATATTTATTTCATCTAATATATCTAAAATATTTCAATACCTAGTCAATATAAAAACTATTGAGATATTTTACATATTTTTTCATATTAAGTCTTTAAAATGTGATGCATAATTTTTACTTAAAGCTTAATCAGTTCATTCTGGCCATATGTAGGTGCTTCATAGTCACACATGACTGGGGGCCGTCATATTGGACAGGGAAGCTGGAGAATATGGGTGCCTGGTCAATGTCCTAAAGCCCTTCATTAAAATGTCAAGGGCCATGCAAAGGAGAGATTCTTAATTGTTTGGCTGTGATTTGAGAGAGATTTTGAAAAAGTCCTGACTCAGCATCCTTACAGATCTGCTCTGGGCTGGAAGAGGCATTAGACATCTGAAGAGAAATGCATAAATGTGAGCCCTTAGCCAGGCAGCATGAGGTCTTTCATTGTGTTATGCCTGCTAGGCCTGTCAATCATCACTATCAGGGCTGCTTCTCCTCCTGATGGGAATTTAGAAGCACCAGGTCTCACTTGAGGTTCAGAAAACAAAGCCAAATTCTTTGAAAAATGGCTATCATGATTTTTAAAATTCTCTACTTTTACTTTTTATGGACCCTTAGTGTTTTGACACTGTGGTTTTGAAAATGTCATCCTCTTTTGGATATTAAGGGGAACTAAAGGAGAAAGATTTTTGTATAGTCATGAGCTAAAGTTTTAAAGATGTAATACTTATTTCCTGGAGCCAGTGATGGCTACGACAGTGTTGAAGTGAAAGGTCCCTAGTAGGAAAAACAAACTTGTAACCAGAGAGGAAAGTTGGGCCTGTCTGCTTAATGATCTCTTTTCACTTGAGTCAACTTCTTCTGTGAGCTCAACTCTGCAGAAACCTTTTAGGTCCCTAGCTAATGTGATAGTGAGAAATTATTGGGTCAAAATCTAGGAAAAGGCATGAACTAGAGAAGTGAGCCCAGCACTAAGGCTGCTTTTGAAATCATTTGATGCTCTGGAAGAAACATCTGCAAAACTGAGCAGCCATTGATAGTCTTTCGAAGCGAAGGGGGCAGAACACAAAGCCTGGGCTCAATAAGTAAATAAATAAATACCCCCTATTTTTAAGCTGGGGCTCCAAAGGACTTTGCCTTCAGGAAAATGGTGAAGTGGAAATAAATCAATACTTCTACTGACTCGCAGCCAGCTTGGCATCATCTGTAATTTGGGATAACCTCCATCTTTGAACTTAGAATAGGGTCGTACTAGACTGGTAGATTAATATACCTGGAAGAAGCAAGCAGAAAATTTCTGAAAAATAACTTCTCAAATACAAAGGCCAGAATAAAAAGAAAATAGAAATTCTAAAGCTGGAAAAAAAATACTAATAACCAAAAATAAGAACACAATTGATTTGAATAATGATAGATTTGGTACAGGTAAGGGATAACTTGTAAACTGGGAAAACAGAACAGAAGAAAATATCCAGATTGTAGAGAAAAGAAAAATGATAAAATATTTTAGTATGAAGGTTTTTTACAACTTTATTAATGGAAGTATTCATTGTTATAAAAGTAAAAATAGATAATATATGTGCAAGTATTTCATACATGCTCTAGCACATAGGGAGGACTCAAAAAGTATTTGTTGAATTTGAAATTAAAAAAAAATAATTTGTTACACAGGTTATCTTAAAAAAAGAAAAAGAAAAAAATTGTTGATTTTGCGGTAATCTTCGTCATTTTATATAATTTCTGTTTCTTTGCCAAACTTCTCTTTTATTTTTTTGTTTCAACTTTTAAAGCATGTTAATAATAATTTTCTATTTTAGTTTGCATGTTATGATTCCAGACTCTAAAATATTTTTGATCTATTACTGGTGGCTCCTACTCATGTTGTCTTGTTTTCTTTTGTGGGTTTGTAATTTTTGACTATAAGATACTTTTGGGGGGAGCTTTATTTCTGGGACATCTTAGAGGCCAGGATGGAGGCTGAATCTTTTGATTTTGCATTTGCTTTTGAGAATTGTCTGGGGGCATGACCAACTCCAAACCACTTTACATTAAATTTTTTACAGGAGGTTTTCCAGACAACACAGGTAATGTTATGAATGAAAAATAAGTGTTAGAGTCAGCTTATCAAACACATTTCCAAAACATTTTTTCTTTCCTTTTCTTAGTTTTTCTTCACCCAGTGCCAAAGTCAAAATAGGCATGTTTTCTACTGTTCAATTTTTCTGTCTTTTAAAAAAAATCAGGTTTTTCTTTTAAAACAGTTTTAGATTTACAGAAAAAATATGAGCATAATACAGAGGGCTTCCATCTACCCCACATCCAGTAGCCTCTGTTATTAACATCTTACATATGTATGGTCTATTTGTTACAATTAATAAACTGATACTGATAATATTAACTAGAGTTCATACTTTATTCAGATTTTCTTAGTTTTTGCCTAACGTTCTTTCGATTGCAGGATCCCATCCAGGACACCACACTAAAAAGTGGTCGTGTTTCCTTAGGCACCTCATGGCTGTGTCAGTTTCCAAGAGTTTTTAAATGATCTTGGCAGTTTTAAAGAGTGCTGTTATAGGTATTTTATGGAATGTCCCTTAATTGAAATTTGTCTGCAGTGTTTCTCATGATTAGATGGAAAGAAACTCACAGAAATTAACTGCCGTTTTCATCACATTGTATCAAGGGTACATACTATCAACTTGATTTATGACTGTTGATGTTGACCTTGATCATCAGGTTGAGATGGTGTTTGTCAGCTCTCTCCACTGTAAAGTTACTCTTTCCCCTCTTCCATACTGTACTTTTTGAATGGAAGTCATTGTGTGCAGCACACACTTAATGAGTAGGGAGTTATGCTTCTCCTTCTGCAGGGTAAAGTGCATATATCAATTATTTGGCATTCTGCATGGAAGATTTGTCTCAGCTCCCACATTTATTTATATCAGTATCGACTCATGGATATTTATTGTATACTTTGAGTTATAATCCAAGGCTACTTTGTTTGAGAAACTAAAAAAATTTAGTTTCTCAAATTATTTCAGCTGTGGTCATTGGGAGTTCTTCCAGTTGGCTCCCATATTCCTTTGACATACTCTCATCATTGTGGGATTATAGTTTTTGAGAACTTCATTGCTTTCTAGCATGATAAGATTTTCTAGTCTCATCTTGACATCCATATACATTTCCTCCTCCTACAACCAGCTCTTTATTCAGGGAGCCCTTATTACCAATGAATTAGAAACCGGTATCTGGGCAGTAGGAATGCTCCTTGCTACTTGGTTATTCTTGTTCCTAAACCCTGTCAGCTGA